CCTCGGAGTCAGCCTCCCTAATGCCAACACAACACTGTAGGTCAAGAGCTTATAGATTATCCCTCCCTCTTCCTGAGACAATGGTAGGCCAACAGGGCTACCATATGCCTGAAAATGCTCCTCTTTCTATGCTTCCCCCTTCTGATTGGCTGTGCTCCCGTACTTCAGGTATGTCAATAGGCTACCTCAGGTTGATGTCACCTCTGTCAAGTCTGATACATACACTCAGGTCCTAGACCCCTTAGTTGCTGTAAGATGACTTTAGCTGTCTTTGATTGGATCATCTATATGATGGTTTCACGGTACAATTCTGTGAAGGCAACTTTATTTCCTCCACTTTCAAGTTCCTAGTAGACAACTCACTGTGCCTCCTATCAACACAGTGGGACCAAGGACTGGGGCCAGAAGGACATTGGAAATAATTCCTCCAGAATACAAATGAGGCTGCAGAATGTTTTCTTTCTTCCTCATCACCCACCTCTTCTTCGACTGGGTTTTTTGGAGTTATAGCTCCTGATGGCTGCAGCCTGGCTTCTTCTGAAGATCTAGTCATCTACTTGATGGGCTTTTTTCAAGCCATGTATCACAACAAGGGCAGTATTTCCTCTCAATTTGAGGCATGCCAAATCTGTGTCCCTTCTGATTTCCTCCGTGAAAAGCTGCTGACTTTGCACTGATTCTCAGAAGGAGTTATGGCTTTTAGCACTACATCCATCTGTTTCAGAAGATCAGGATGTTTATTTCTGAGATCTCCATCATGTTGCCTAACTATGCCCCCTTTAGCCATTTATTTGGGGGGAGGGTTAGTAAAATCGCAAGAAGGAGGAGGAGGAGAAAACAATTATATAATTCTACTAAGTTCTCATCTCTCTAATTGCAGCAGAATTCCTTTAAAACAAACATTAAAATAAATATAGGAGTGGGGAGGGCCAGTGGAGGAGGGACTAACCGTAAGTACCTATAAGCTGAGCACCTGCTCATTCTTTTAGCACACAAAGCCCTTTGGCTTATTCAGCATGTATGTGTGTCTCTGACTGAAGTAGCATTTCTCTTCTAGAAGAAGCAGTAGTATTAAACTCATATGCCATGTACTGCAGAACCTTCTGGTGAAGCTCATGCATACCTGGGCTTCATTTCCTCAGTGCAAGGTTAGCAATGTCTCAGCAGACAAGAATTAGGAATTACCTGCTCCAATGTTGAATATAAAGGTGTTGACTTGGACAAGGCTCTTGCTTCTGTTTGTGCCTTCAGTTTCCTCTTTTGCAAAGTGAAAGGCTCAATGAGATTATTGTTTAACTCCCTTTCTGTGTTTCATTTTAAATTACTCTTTCTGAATTAGCTTACCTGGTATCTTGCTTCCTTTCTGTCTACCTATCATCTATTTATCTTTCACAAGTATTTTTGAGGTTGTTTCAGAGATGGATTTAACCTAAGAAGCTTAAATTTCAGGATTCCTCACAAGAATCCTTCTACATTTTAAAAAAATCAGTTTCTATTTAATTTTATATTTTAAAGTTAATATCCTTTTTCTCAAAGAGACCTCCCAGATTTGAATATACTTTAGACCCCACAACATCTGTATTTGCTCCGGGGTGGCTTAGGGAAAAAGACAAATACAAATAAGAGTATCCAAATAAGAGTTTAAAAGGAAGGTGTGAGAGAAGGAATAGAAGGGAAATAAGCCAAATATGAAAGGAGTTTACCCAGTTGAGCACCAGGTTGCGTTTTGAGCCTCTGCACTTTCTGGAAGGTAAAGTTGTGAGAGGCATCCGTACATCATATAACTCTGGCTATTGGAATGGAGGAAATGTTCAGAAAGAACAAAAATATCCATTCATACTGAATGCTGAGAAATGTTTCAGTGGAACATTTTCTTTGGGACAAGATCATACTATGACCAAAAAGTATTTTCATTAGGATAGAGAATTCTTGGTAACAAGTGATAAAGTTTTGAGCAGCTCTTCTGTATCAGGCATTGTTCCCGGCAGACGCTAGAAATACAGAAAGGAATGAGACATGGTGATTGCCTCTCAGACCTCTCAGGCAACCACACAAACTATTATAAATATAAGTAGGTAAGTTTCTCAGGGAGGCCTGTGCATGGAGGCACGCAATCACAGGAAGTGGCTAATTCACATCAGGAAGATGAAGAGGAAGGGAAGAGATAACTTCCAAGCTCAATTTTTAAAGGTAAAAATATTCTTTACATAACACTTGTCACTTGGCAACGTGTGTCTAGACAGTTTTCCTGAGCATAATCTGACTCTCATTCCCATGGTTTATAGGCACTGTCACTGTTGTAAGATGAAATTGCATTCATTGATTCATCCCTTCGAGATCCCAAAAAAAAAAAAAACCCACCTTTCATGAAATGAATTGTAGCCTTCTTGTCTTATTCCTTAGGCATCTGAAAGACTCCTCCTGGCTTGCTTGTAGCCTTTTTAATGGATGTAATGGGTTTATTAAATTCTTTAGTTGTGTATAGGAAACAAAAAGCAAAGTGGACATTACAATAAGGACCATTTGGGGAAAAAAAATGTAACATTTGAAAACATACTAATGGGCATCCCCTGGTGTCCAGTTATTTGCTACTTCAAAAATCTTTATCCCAATTTTGAAAAGTTTAAAAATCTTTTCCAAACAATTCCCATTTTACAGCAATGGAACAGAAAGTGACTCACATGGCAGCACCTCAAAAAATTGTAAGCCACAAAATGAGGAAGAGGTGAATATTAAGCATCCAAACTGTTAGGTAATAGAAAACATCTTCAGGAATAAAATAGGATCTCATAATAGCCTTGCTTGGTGAGCTCTGTATAGCGGTAGTGAACATTTCTCCCTGCACTGGCATCCCCAAAGGAATGGAAACACTTCTACACCTTTCTAGAGTATTCAGCCGCAGCAAGTACTGCATCAAACAGTCTTGCAAGTTTGCTCTCCGTTGCATCTGGCCAAACAGCCTGAGAACTTCGCCTTGCATTATGCATGGCCCTCTAACTCCCTGTAAGTTTGAAAACACCCGGAAAGTCTCTTCCTGCCACCCCAACTCCCATTGTCTTTGACAAATTACAAAAGGCAAGCCGTTCCAATGGAGCAGGATTTTCAAACACAGGGAAATTTGGAGCCTCTGCAATTGATTCTAAAATTAAGATGCTGCCATCACACCTCACTCAACAGGGGATTTACAAAGAAAAAAAAAAAGGAAAGATTCAGTACCAAGTCAGTGTCACGCTGCAGCAAAGACAGTTGGCTGAAGTGTCGGGTCAGGAATTCAGCAGCCCTTTGAAGAGATTGCATTCAGCTTGAAATTCAGTTCAGAGAACGGAGTTAAAACAGAAATGGAAATCCAGATTTCCAGTTTTGGTGGAAGAGTGATCAGTGATTAAGCTGAAGCACCCTAAATTCTGTGCATTTAAAATCAAGAGATTCTGAATGTACTTAATAGCTACAGATAAAAATTTCATTCCTTCCAAGGTTTTTTAAAAAAATCATGGTAAACTTTAATTCCTCCTTCTCCCCTCCCCATTGAGAAATAGGAAACTAGCTCTTGGGTTTAAAGACTACAGGGCTCGAAATCCCTGAGTAAGGTACAATGATTAAACCTGTTATGTTAAATGTTAAATGTTAAATGTTAAAACAAGCAGAGGGCAGTTGTTCGAAGATAAATACAAAAATAGAAGTTTAATGATTCCTACGTTTACCACCTGTTAGGAGTACACTTCAGTGATGTGGAGAACAAGCTTGCACAGCTCATTAACAGCTATCACTTATTGGCTATGTACCATGTGTCAGACATTTTTATGGATTATTTCATTCAATCCTCACAGCAGCCCTATGCAGTGAATATTATTAACCCCTTTCAGGTGAGGAAACAGGCCTAGAGAGGCTGGGAACGTGCCTGAAATCACCCACCTGGTCCATAGCCAAGCAGGACTGTCACTCGCTTCTGTCTGAGTCCCATCCTCAGCTCCCATCCGCACCACGACCCAAATTTATCGGAGAAGTTGTAAATCTCTGACTCTTCATCAGCAAGATCTATTGTAGTGTTATTTGCTTGGTGAACTGACTGTATCAATAACAGCAATCCGTACCAAAGACGGGAAGAGTACCCACTACCCACCAAGCAACACCTTGAGTACTTTACATACATCCATTTGTGTACCCTTGCAACAGCCCTAAGAGGGAGAAAACCAAACATAAGCAACTTGCCCAAGGTCACACCGTCAGTGAGTGTAAGAGCAAAGCTTCAAACCCGGACAGCCTGCCTCCCGTGCCCCTGCTCTGGGCTAGGAGTTTTCAGGGGACAGACTAAATTCCTGTCCACGTTTGTACCAAGTCCATTGCATTCCAAAATGGTCCCACTACCTTCGCACAACCTGTAAATTGAAGTGGAAGCTGGGAGAATGGATGAAGTCCATGATCAATATGAACAACCTAATGTATTCTTGAATTATTCTGCTCAATTAAGTTTCTATTACAGAGTTTAATCCACGTATCTGACAAGTAAAAGAGGACTAGAAATGATGGCTCTGTGAAATTAATCAAATAAAGAGCCAAATGACTTTCAACGGCTAACATAGGCATCTCATAACACATCTAAAGAGATCTGGTGCATACATGGGTATAGTTGTACAGGTCCACATAGTGTATATTTGGCATTCTATGCCCAGAATATAAGCCTAGTTTAAAATCTGTTTTGAACCATGCACAAATGTTCATTAACCTTACAGGCAGGCACAAAATGTTTGATGTCATGAAGCTGTCTTGAACCAGCTGTTGAAGTTGAGCATTCATTTTCCAACCCTGCTAAGTTTGGGAGTTCCAGAATGAAAACAAAATGGTTTTGATGGATGAATAGACATCTTGCTTTTTCTGTCCATATTTCCTAATGATCTGAATGCTATTAAGTGTTAAGTTTCTGAGATGTTTATATTAAGTTAAAGATGGCATGTATTAATAACTGTCTAATAGCTTTTCTTTATTGTTTTCTTTCTCTCCAGGTATCCCCAGTATTTCCAGTATCGGTAGTAAGTAAAAAAAAAAAAGTCACGAAACCAAGTCTAGGCTAGCTTTGTTTCTTTGTTGAGCTCCTAAGATCTATTTTCCCAGTGTCCATTTCTGATGTAAGAGGGTATTTTCTTTGTGAATTGAAGTGTTGTGTGTGTTCTCTGCACAAATAGGGTGAGAGGGCAGATAAAATAGTTATCAAAGCATAACTTCCCCGTGGATACGGCGGTACCATGGCTCTCTTGACTGCTTTTGACCGATGAAGGAAGGCTACCTTTACAGAGGTGTAATTACTTAGGTAACCATAGCTCATTTAGCAAAAATATAAATAGTCCTATTTACCCATACTTAGTAATGGACAACAAATTGAACTTTCTCCTTAGGACTGGATATGGATTTCTCCCATAATTTTTAAAAGCAGAGAATGAATACCAATGAACGCTTTAGGCATATTCATCAGAACCCAGTGAAAACACCATGAAACCAGAGGGAGGGAATTTTAGTAATTTATTATACTCCAGTCTTTGTGAAGGCCTGAAAGAGGCAGGTTGGTGATCGTTAGTCTTTCTGGAGGAATGAAGGGGAGAAAAATCAGTATGTCCGTTTCTCCCTCCAAAAATACAGTGATCCATCTTTTCCTGACTACTTAGTTTAAGTTTGATAGAGAATGGGGTATAAAAAACAGATGCAGAATTTAGGAATCCAGCTAGCTGAAATTTCTGCAAGAAGTCTTTTAGTAGAAATAGAAGCAGTTTAAAAGAGAAATGCCTCTTCAAGCCTCTATGAAACATTTCTCCAGTACCATGGCAAAGAGCATTCTCCCAGCTATGGTGGGAGAGCCAGACTATAGCTCCTTGTTCACATATAAAACAATGACACCCCACACCAAGCCTGAAATGCTCATTAAGGAAATGCCCCACAGCTTTGCAGAGCAGGATCTCACATGTTTTTATATTTCGCACCCTTTCTCTCTGATGGCTAAATCCTTTGCACGACTGCTGAATAACCTATTCAAAACAGAGTGCTGAGGAGGCAGAGATTATGCACTGTAGGTGAAGAGAAGAATTCTCACTGTGGTCTCACCCCTCACAGACTTCATCATGGGTGCCCGGCCACCCAGGGTGATTGCAGTGTAAACAGCAGCTGTTGAATACCCAACATCCATCTCTGATAATTTGGATAAAAACAACTTCCCACTTCTTATAAATGCACAGTCAGGTCTTCCAACTTGTACATCGAGCCAGTTTACTTAAGCTTGCGAATAGATCTGGACACAGATCTGTTAAGCATTAGACATGTGAAATGCCTTGAAAATCAGCGGCTTTGTAAATAGGGGTAGTGTTCACATCCTTTTAGATCCCAGCCTAAAGCTACAGCCTGGCCTTTATGATCTTGTTGAAATGGCATTAATGCTACAGACGTGCAGGTGAAACTTTCAGCTCTCATAGTCTCCGAGTTCTGCTTTAGTATCTCCCCTGGCATTTGCCTAATTGTGTGTGTGTATACACACACACACACACACACACACACACACACCCCACAGTGGGCTCCTTTCAGGCCTTGACAATTTTATTTACATATGCATCTTAGAACAAAAGGGGACCAAGTGGAAGACAGCTGAGACGGATTATTGAGGCTGCCATGGCAGTCTGACCTGTCAGATTTTCAGAAATGGATGCATGGAAAGTAGTTCTTGGGCGCTGGGGTGTGTTTCTGTTTGGAGTGTCAGTCGTGTGTTGCATGGAATCTCTGACTGTATTTCTCACTCGACATCTCATCCGGCCGCCTCCACCACGTGCCCCATCTCTGAGCATCAGCAGATGTTGACCTTTTACACACTGAGTCAGGAAATTCCAGTTTTGTTTTGCTTTGTTTTATTTCGAAATCAGTGGTGACCTGAAAGGATGCTTTGTTTTGCCTTTGGAAAATGTATCCACCTTCATTATCAGGAACCTAGGAAAATTTAACTCTTTAATACCTAACCAAAACCCGCTAGCAAATAAAACGGTAGTTTGTAACCTGCCTTCCTTAGGCCCCTGGCTGCTCTGCTTGGAGTATAGTGGGTGTTCCCCCAGATTTCTCCAGCAAACAGGGTGTGAAAGCTGCCAGGAGTCACCCAACATCACACACAACTAGCTTGCTGATTGCTGGCTTTTAAGTCAAGAGATTCACGATAAAAACCATCAAACAGGATAGGATCTTCTGGGCTGCTTAAATGGCATTCACACCTTCCTTCTTTGTGGGCTCATAAGGTGCTCATTGGGTACACTAGTGGATTCCTTTCCTTTGCTCCAAGGGGCAAGAATTCACGCATAGATGACTCGATACCTACTCTAGAGGGAACAGGAATGGGTTTCCAAGGTATAAGCCAGAAAAGAAGGAGTTGCTTGGAATTTTTAACCAAGTTTGGGTGTTTGCCAGGGCTTTTCCCTTTATCCCAAAGAAGGAATCAACGAGCATAATTCCAACAGTATATAGACAATGCCATTACAACAGATGTAACACCCGTGAGACTCCCATCATCAAAGCATATCTCAAGTGAATGATACATACTATTGATGTATGTAACCATAAGTTCACATACATATGCTATACACAAAATGACTAAAGATTTTGGAGCCCTAATAGATTTCAGGATAGTCCCAAACTGTCAATACCAGTATTAAGGTTCAAATGCCTGGACAGAGTGGTCATCCTTTCCGATCATCTGCTAAAAATGTTTTTGAAACAAATTTCCCATTAAGGTCATTTGTACCTGCTGTTGTCTATTTTTTTAGGAAATAGGTTTCCCAACCATTTCTAAGGTTCTTGATTTAAAACTTGGTCATTTTGATGTGCTTTGGCCATGGCTGAAAAAATCCTGGTGATATTGTCAGCAATTAATGAATCCCAAAATAGATCTATAGTCATTGAGCCTTGTGATCTCTGTTTTTACTTTACCTAATGTGGCAGTAATTCATTCAGGTTTCTTTTTTTTTATATAAAATGTATCACACATTTAGAAGTAAACATTCACGATTTTACCCAAGTGAACATTTGTTGATGCTGATGATGCAAATTAATAGTTGGTTTGGTGTGGATGTTTTTGCTAGAGTGATAAACTAATGATTACCTTCTAGCATATATTATCTGATCCTTAGTCCTGAAAAGCAAGTGATTTCACTAATTATGTTAAACAGTATATTATAAAGACCATAATTAGAATAAGAACTGGCCTAATGTGCAAATAGCTTTGTGTGGGTGATTGTCACTTAAAAAGGAAATGACAGATGAGTCAAAGATTAAAGGTAGGCCAGCCACTGACCTGAAAGATCACATCAGGAAACACCATTTCAAATAACTTGGCATTTTTTAACAAATAAAAAATATGTCTTAGAATAGCAACAAAAGATAAATGTAAACATTCTGTGAACCCAGGTATACATTATTTCTTCAAATTATTTTTAAGTGATTGAGATCATGGTATATAAAACATAGAATATTGATGGAGGTGTTTGGCTGTCCCCTCCTCTCTACCTCTTTCAATTAGAAATAATGGTTCACTTCAGGGAAATATTCCATTTTCCTGTTTTCTCTTATAATGAGCATTACCTTCATCCTGGAGTTAAAACTTCATCTCTAATATGATTTAATTGACAGGACCGTTAAACAAGGGAAGTGCTACCCGCAGGGATCCATCAGCCTGGCGAGAAAGCCCAGATATATTTTCTTACTTAAAAATATTTGATGCCAGTTGGAGACCTTGTAAAAGTTGTTTTCCAGACAGCATCCAAATACTTTTGTTCAGTACCCGTTTACTGTAGAAACCTGGATCGTGAGGAAAACAACAAGGTTAATCATTTCCCCACCCAAGGGTTATTAATAATCATGTTCATGCTATCCAGACAGCTGCAGTGTTTGTTTGGGTTTTTTTTTTCCCTTTGCTTTAATACTTCTAAATCCCCCAAATAAAAGTTTCATTTGAATTGCCCTTTAACTAATTAGGTTTTATATAATGAGGGGAAAAAAATGATCAGGCTAGTGTAGCTATATGGCAAATTGCATGGTGTGTTACATTAATTTTGAACTGTTTGCTGATGTTCTGGAAGGAAAGCTCAGGTCCCAGGTGAAATGCCTTTGGGACTTTGTTATATCACGTGCCCAGTATCCTCATCACAGATCCATTTCATATTTGTGTAACTAGCATTTCACATTCATGAAACCTTTGTGGTTATCCTAAAACTGAATGAACATTAGGACATAGCTGTTGCTTTAATCCTGAAGATTACATCAAATATTACAGTGAAGGAGGGGGAAATATCCCTTACCTAAAAAAAGAAAAAAGAAAAGGAGAGGTTTAGTAATGTTAGCAACAATTGCCTACCTTGAGCAAATTGACGTTTTTCATGCGTTCACCTCTTCCCAGGTGAAGTTAGAATGTCAAGCCACTTTTTAAGTGTGAGCTGCTATCTGTACCTTTGCTGTTATCTCTGTGTGGGTCATTGGGAAATTCCTAGCTTAACCGAAGATTTGCCAAGATCTCTGAAAGGTCCCATGATGAACCTTCAGACATGTAACCGTGAACTTCTGCACCAAGTGTGTGGGTATCGTTGACATCTTCTTGGAGTATAAATAAGGAGCTGGCCAGCTAACTGCTTCACTTCCTGGGAAGAGTTAGACAGAGCTTTCACTCAGAACTGGAGGGAGATGTTCCTGTATGTCTACAGAATTCCATTTTACAAATGGTGAATCTGAGGCTCAGAGTGGCCGAGTAACTTGACCAATATAATATGACGAGGAAGGCCTATCTGACTCCAAAAGTTATTATGCTCATAACCTTATACCAAATGGAACAGGTTAGAAAGAAAAATCCTAGATTTATTTGCTCTTACCGCAGACTCTTTCCAATCCACCACACTGCATCTTAAACCTGTTGATCCCTGAATTTTTGTGCAGGGAAATTTAGTGTCCTGGAGAAAAACAGAGGTTCATTTTCTGGTACCACACTGTGTTGTCAACAGAAGTTACAAACATCATGCAT